TCAACATCATCATCATCATCATTATCATTATCATCATCATCATCTTTATCATCATCATCGTTGTCATTTCCATTATTATCATCATCATCATCATCATCATCATCATCATTATCATCATCATCATCATCATCATCATCATCATCATTGTCATCATTTCCATGATCATTATCAACATCATTATTATCATCCTTATCAACATCATCATTATCATCATCATCATGATAACTATTTTCACGTACATCGTTATAATTATTATTATTATTATTATTATTATCGTTATCGCTTTCGTGCAAAAAAAAAATTCGTACGAGGATTAACTAGTTTATAATATAATTATGCTGTCGCAGTAAGATGAAGTAAGTTGTTATCTATAGTATGAGGTGTCTTGAAAAGTAAAGTTACTTCCATGAGAACTTGGGATCAAAAGAGCTTAATTTGTCAATTGTCTACTAGTGTTGTGAGTTGTGTGCTTATGACCTATAGTAAATTGCTAGTGCCTATAGTATTGGCTACTGGTTTCATCCAATGGCACTTGAGGATTTTTAATATTTTGCTACCAATCAATGTACACATAAGCCACTATGGATGAACCGAGCAGTTTCATGATGGAAATTTGGGTCAACTGTACACCTCTTACTATGCATCCATGCGCACCTCAAAGTCCTCCTTTCCTGACTCTCGACGCGTCCGAGCCCCGGTAGAATCACGTCACTCGTGAATCATGCAAATCGGTCCCTTTTCGCGTCAACCTCCTCCCAAGTTACCAACTCGTCCTCTCTCGACGACTGGCTACGTACCTGCCGGCGATCGAAATCTTATTTTCCAATCCAGCTCCGATAACCGGCCAAAAGATCAGTCTTCGTGTGCAAGAGCACCCCACCTGTATACTCGTATAGCCGAGTGGACGGATGCTGGACGAGGTCTGCCCGGAGCGAGATAAATGATTAGCTAGAGGAGCTTGTTGCTCCCTCCTCGTCGTCGCTCTGCATGTGTATGTGGGCACAGAAGCGACTAAAGTATACGTGTATACGCGACGATGGGAGCACGAGGAAGATCGGAGGAGCAGCCGCGGGGGCCTTGGGGCGTGCTTTATTGCGTGGGAAATGAAGGGGCAAAGTTGGCAGGGAGAGAACGTATATAGGAGCCCCCGGGCGCAGGGGAGAGGGGGCGAATTTATAGGGACAGCTTCACCCACGAGGGCGACGGCGCTTGAATAAACGTCGCATCGATAACTCGATCTAATTTACTTTATGCTTATTTTACGGCTTGTGTGTGTACACACGACCCGAGTGAAACTTTGAGCCGGAGATTTTTCGGCTTTCGAGGATTTTTTTTTTTTTTTTTTCTTTCTTTCTTTTCCAACTTTTTATACATTTTCACGCGCGCGCGTGCGTTGTGTCCTGGATTAAGGGGCCGGGAGGGGGTTTACGCAACCCGGGAGATGAATGCCATAGCAGGTATAATGTACCTGTTCCTATTTCGAGGCATAAAATTCAATTTTTTCCGAGTAGGTGTTCTCTCTCCGAATTTCGTGTCGCGATGAAGAATGCCGTCTTCAGCCCTCCTCGAATTCGCGCTCGTGTCACTTTGAACATTGAAATTTTGTATGCATGAAAGTGAACGAAAAAAAAAAAAGAGAAAATTCAGGAATCGCAAATTTGTTATTTTGAGCTGGAAAGGGAGAAAAAAAATAACAATGGAGCTCTTCTACATATCTCTAAAGTCGACGTTTAGTTATATGTGTATATAAGAGCAAAGAGGAGAGGTGGCTGCTACCAATTACGTCGGAAAATTTGATGAGCTTAAAGCCAAGAGTTGATGGTTTTAGTAAAGTCCCTTCCCTGTTATTACGAGGGTTAATCCCCTTTCATTTTTTTTCTTCCTTTTCTACCGGCACCTATTACCCTTCGTTGGAAAAAATGAGGTAATATACGTCAGCGTGGGCGACAACCCGGCATTATTCAGCTATTTAAATATAACCCAGCCCCGCGGTAAAGTGACATTTAAAATCTTCTTTGATTTCCATCCATTAATTTTCACGGAAAAGCCTATATCCTCTGAACTCAGCACTAAAATACGGAAAATCGTCAAACAGACAAAAGCCAAAATTCAACCTTTTCCAATAGTAATATACTTTGTCCTTTTAGTATTCGTATAGTGCGCTTATGTGTTACACTCGACAAATCAGATATTTTCGTCAGATGTAAAATATATACATGAAACGTGACAAACTGTAACTTTTCGTTATCAAAAAGTTGAGAAAATTTGAAAACAGGCACAAACGATAGAACAAAAGCAAGCACTTTAATGATACATATATGTATTTTTTGAAAATTGCATGAAAATCCGCAACTTTGCGCTAAACTCAAACAAGGGTGTAAACAACGAAAGTATAGCTTATTGCACGCCTCGACGATACTTTTTTTTTTTTTTTTTTAGCTTCCAACCACGTTGCCTCTCCTTCTCCCATACACCGCTACAGCTTGGTTTATACAAATGTACACATACACAGCAAATTGCACTTTTGTACGGTAATGAGCAGTACAGGAAAACAAACCAGCAGGAATCTGTTTTATTAAAAAAGTTACCTACTCGCTCGCTCCTCCCCGTACTATACATCCTGGCGCGTATGTACATGAAATATTTTTCGTTTCAAGTGTTTTCTTTGACTTTTTTAATTAATCCATCCGACTGGCCCATTAACGTCGTTACTTTGTCAAAGCTGATGTATCCTAGTCCCTTTTTTTTTTTTCCTACTCGTTTGAACAAAGTTACAAGTTTGTCGCTCGCAAAAACTTATTTAACCACCGCGACGTCATGCTTGGAAATATTATTTGACATATTTTTTTTTTTTTTCGAGTTGTAGCATATCCACTGTACAGATTTAAACGGTGACAAGGGTATTAACGAAGAAAAAACAACTTGTACGTATAGAGCGAAGCTCATCGAAAATCGAGCATTTTAATGAGCAAAAAAAGAGAGGGAGTACCGCGGTATCACCCAAGCATTTGTGCTACTAGTGGCATGTATATAATCAAACGCCAATCACGTCATTTTCATATAATGAGTACACGTAAATAAAAAAAGCTTCTATTCACCAACACGTCACTTTGTTTAAGTTCCCAGGCAATTCACGATTCACGATATTGCATTTGTCAGCTTGTTTGTTTGTTTGTTTTTTTTTTTTTTTTTTTTTTTTTTTTTTTTTTTTTTTTNGCAAACAGCTCCTGCTCTTCTGACCTTTGCTGCCTCCGTCAAATACTTTTTTTCTTTTTTTTTTTTTTTTTTTTTTTTTTTTTTTTTTTTTTTTCTTTTTTTTTTCATCCTCCCCCCATTTAAAAGTCAAAGCATACGCTTATTTACCCATTTCCCGTCATCCGAGCCGATTTATTATGAATTCATGAATTATTAATACCGTGAAATTTCGATAAAACCACCTGCGCATATTTACAAAACGTTACGCGTACGCATACTTTCGCGTTTTGCGTATATAAATATATACAGGCGACGGGAAAAATAAATCGCCGTTCGAGCCACTCTTTTGGCAAATGGAGCGTCTCTTTGACGCTCTTTACTACAGCCCGCCAATAAACGGTATAATTACTAGCGAACGGAAACAAACCAAATTAACCTTTTCGAGGGTAAAAAAAGATTAAAAAAAAAAAAAAAAAAAGAGAGAGAGTAGGTATATAATTGGCGAGTCGGCGTCCTCGGAGGTGTTTTTTGCAAAGTTGAAAAATCACGCGCTTGAGCTTCAGCACCAGAAAAGGCAGAGGACGAAAGCTAGGGGGGGGGGGGGTTAATCAACTAGTAACTAATTTCGAGCGCTTTGCGAGCCCGGGCGTGAAAAAATTCCAAGAATCTCATCTCGCGCTTCTCGGTTAATCCCCGTGAAAAAAGAGCGAGGCCACGGGAGTTTCCACCCCAAACACCCTTTTTCACCACCAGCGACCCAAGGGCCGGAGGATAGCATTGTGCGGGAGTAGAAGGAGAAGAGACGTGGATGATGTATAGGCCCGAGAGCAGCGAGAGAAGATTTGTCAACGTCAATTCCCCGGGATCGCTCTCGGCTTTCCATTTTCTCGCCCACCTCCCGTTTCGTGTATACTACCCGTGTATACCGTCTATACGTCGCGCTGGCGAGCCGGCAAAATCGACTCGCACGCGGGGGATCAAAAATAAGGGAATCCGTCGTGTTTTGGCCAACCACACCTGACCCCCAGCGATCAAAGGAGCAAGGATATATATTATAAAATGTCAGGGGACAAGTAGGCGTATGGCAATAACGATCCCACCATTGTGAAAATGTTCGATGAAATGAATAAAATATGTACACGCGCGTTACAATGATGGAAATGGGTGTATTTCAGTCCAGCCACTGGAGGTCAGTATAAAGGGCAACAATCAGCCGCTCTCGGCGGGCAGGCGAGTCGACGTGGTCTGCGATTCGTCGGGCAGCCGGCCGCCGGCGGTTATCACTTGGTACAAGGACGACCAGGAGCTTTGGAACTCGACGAATGTCGTGAGTATACACCCCACCCACACTGAGCCCCCGGCTTTGCCGCGACGATCTCGTCTTTCTTTCCCAAACTTGTACATGTACACCCACACACAGCTTACACGGCACGCGCGAGCTTAAGGTCTTTTCGCGTGGGTACACGGTGGTGGACTTTCCGTGTTTGTCGCGCTCGTCCGACCCAACACGGGCTTTTACTACTGCCCGCGCCTCTTGGCGTCGAGCGGGGGATCAGCTGCATCCATGAATAATTCGTCCATCCGTCAATTACTCCTCCGACATGGTGGTAATTTTTTGACAAAACTTTTTGATCCTCTCACAACCTGTACACGGATGTGTATACGTACGTATGATGAATCAAAGAGGGGATCCGAAAGTTTCGCCCGTAAGTATACAAGTTTGAGCGCGAGTGTGTACATTGGGGGCGAGGAATTTCCATTCGGTATGAAATTTCATTGTATACGTGTAAGGAAAAATGTAAGCGGAGAGCGGATTTTCGCGGGAAAATCATTCGATGTAAGCGCGCGATATCCCCCTTACACTCGGCGACGAGGAGCTATTAAAATTTAAAAAGTATCGAGTGAGTCGGCGCTCATGTTTTATTCAACGGGGGAGCGTGTTATATGTATACACACCCACAGGGTACCCTATCGCAGTATATATGTAGTATGGGTATTGGATTGCACGGCGCGTCGAACCAACGTTTCCGATAACACACTTTTCCCATCATTATTTTAAAAAATTCGATCGAAAAGAAGAAGAAGAAGAAGAAGCAAAAACAGGGAGAAAACGAGCGCTCCTCCTCCTCCTCTCCCGATAAATTGTACATTAACGTCAGATCCGACACTCTCTTTTCGTCCCCAGCCGGCTGGCAAATAACACTATATACACGCCGAGTCTGTCGTATCGCTTTTTCGCATTTTATTCGCTTGGTTTGTCCCAATATTCGCGGATAAAATATACACGTCCCGCGGGCGCTTCCTTGTATCATACGCTTGCACCACACCCTGGCAAAATACACACTCATCCCGTGTATGTGATAGAGCGAGGGGGGTATATATATAGGCCAATAGAGGATAGAGAGGTAATAGATATATATACGTATCCGTAAGCCCCGGCTTATTATCGAATTTAGCTCAGCCAGTCGATCTCGTTTCCGTCGAAAAATCAACGCCACGAGCCGGAAGAAAAGGGCGGTAGGGGAAAAAAAAGGTGCCGCGTCAGAGGATACCCGAGGAAGGATATAGTCGAGGGTACGGCTCGTAAAGGAAAAAATTGAAATTCCGCTTGTTTAACGCGGGGGTGGGTATATACACATACACCCAAAGCCGGTATATTGTGCTATATTTCTTTTTTTTCTCTTTTCGCAGACGATGAACAGCGGCAACACGACCAGCAGCGTACTGTCCTTCGTGGCGAGCAAGTCCGACGCGGGCAGGAACCTGACCTGCCGGGCGAAAAACCCGACCATGAAGGCCTCCCCGGTGATCGAGGACAGCTGGACCCTGCGAGTACAGTGTAAGCCCCGTATCAGCGATTTCCATTTGCTACTGTCTTGTGGACTAATGAGTCCGTCCCGTCCGTCCGTTCGAGGAAAACTGCTGTTTCGAAAATTCAGCACAAAAAGTACCTACCCCACGGCTCTTCTGATGACGCCGCTCCCCTTTGTTCGCAAGTTTGGACAAACAAGATGAAATCAAGCACTTTTTTTTTTTTTTTTTTTTTTTTTTTTTTTTTTTTTTTGTCCCCAAAGCCCGAGAGTCAATGTTTGCGAGATTTAAAATTTTCCCTTGGCAGCGCGCCGGAAATCTCATACAAGAGGAGGTCCTGTTGTAGGGAGACGCTCAATTCATCCGTTTTTTTTTGTTTAGACACGCCCGAGACGAGGATCCAGTTGGGCGCCAACCTCAACCCGGACGACATAAAGGAGGGCAGCGACGTCTACTTTGACTGCATAATCGAGGCCGAGCCATCGGTCTATAAGGTCGAGTGGAGGCATCAGGTACGCTTGGCTTCTCTCTCGCTACTTTTTTTTTTTTTCCCCCGCCGGCGTAGCTAACGAGTCGATGGCACACTTTTTCCACCCATATACCTCCTTCCCCTATATACATATGCTTCTCTCTGGTGTTTCATATAATGCACTTACGTGCACGAGAGCCTTTATCGCCCCTCAATGATATTCGGGTCGCGCGCGTGTATTAATTACGGTAATTGCCACGCGGATGTGTGTTGTAAAGAGCCTACATAACTTCTTTCTTTCCTCCTCCAGCGCTTGATTAATCGTTTTTTTTTTTTTTTTTTTCTTTTGGCTCTCATCTGCGCGGACTCGTGACGAGAGCACAAGTCTCATTGGTCCGAGTGAAAATAATATGCAACCACTCGCGCCCAATCGAGCAAACTATTAATAACCAAACGAATCCCGATGATTTTTCACCCGCAATTGGCCATACACGCATACGTATATGTTTTGTTGTTTTCAAACGATTTCGCTGGCCAAGAAAGTAATATCAAAGGGGGAGGGGCGCCACAAAGTGGAAGATGGTTCCCCACTCCACCTGTTTTTTTCTCCCTTGAAACCTCGGAAGATAAATTGAATTTTCTAAATTAAACTTTCCCGCGCCGCTGTGTATAACTTTACAGTTCATATACAATACACCCATACGAGGCGACTAGTTTAAAAGTTTGACGCGTGATCCATAAACACGTGCTTTTTGTTTTCTCCCCCTACGACGCGATTATTCGCACACGGAGGTGAACAAAAAAAATACACCCCGATCTAATCTCCGAAACGAATGGCGGGGCTAATAATAGCGATTGAATAAAAAATGTCCCGGGCGACGGCGCGGTGCTCGTGGTGCACAGTATTACCCAATTAGCTTGGCTAAAGGTTTTAATCTTCCACGAGCCTTGATTTACCTCGAGCTAGGAAAAAAAAAAACAGCCCACAGGGAATGGAAATATATATATAGACCATCCCTTTGCTCTGGATATCGCATGATAATCCCCCCCCCCTTCCCTTGGGAGAGAGAGAGAGAGAGGTAATCCCAGCTCGACGGAAGCTTACCTGTGTCGGTGATGCTGTCCTGAATCTTTTTCATCGGCGTGTTTCAGGGAAGGACCCTCAGCCACAACGTCTCGCAGGGCGTCGTGATAAGCAACCAGAGCCTCGCCGTGCGCGGCTTGACGCGGAAAAACGCTGGCAACTACGTGTGCGTCGGCTTCAACGTTGAGGGCGACGGTATCAGCCAGCCCTTTTATTTGAACGTCATGTGTGAGTATATACATTTTTTTTTCCACACGCCCACGCAAGTTTATAATTACACGTCCCCATGTATAAGCAAGTCCTCTTCGATGGGCTTCAACTCGCCCTCGCGCTCTTTCATTACCTCGGTGAGGCTGGTGCTCTTTAATCCAAGAGCCATTACCTCCCCACCGATACAACTTCACACAGCCGTGGTCCCCTTTTTGCGGACACCTCTTTTTTTGTGTTCCTCATATTTCTCGAGGGTTTTTTTTTTTTTTTTTTTTATTCTTCCCCCCCCCCCCCATTCTATAAACTCTCTTCTGTAGCGCTTCTCCAATTCTTTTCTCTGTCTGTTTAACCGTCCGGCCGGCTAAGAATTGCTTCTTTTTTACCCCCCATTTGCAGATACGGGTCGTGTCCACGGTGTGCTTTAATTATCGCCGGGAACAATGGCGAGTGATTAAAGCTGCATGCCAGGGGGGGGGGGAGGTGCTACCGAGGAAATTCTCGCGTGGATTACCAATAAAGTTTGTTAAATAATTCGAGGGTCTCTTTCTTTCTGTCTCCGGGCGCGGCAATTGCACGTCAAGGGGCGAGAGAGAGCGTGGTAATGCAATACTTGGGATACCATTGCAAGGAGTGGGGGGTGGGGCGCTAGAAAAAGTTTTTAGTTCGGGCACTTGGGCTGAATTATCGCGGTTGAATGTACTTTACGTGCGGTTCGAGGAGTAGAGTACAACATAGTGTTTTTTGCGAATTAATTTCGAGCGGCGTACACTTACGCGATTCTGTGCAGCGAAGGGGCAAAAATATTTCCGAGACGGGAGGGGTTATTTATTTAATCTCGGGTGTAATCTTATTTATCGTCCCGGGTGAATTTTCTCGAGTATAATAAAACAATAAAGACCCGAGCTTGTGTTTTTTTGCTTGGCCGCTGACAAAGAGTTTTGATATTTCACGCGGATTAGGAACGGGTGTGGTGTGAAATGCCCCCCCACGATTACACGGAGAAAAACACGCACATGCGTTATTGTGAGACAAAGAGGTCCGTTACTCATTCACTACATTATTGGTATATGGGTCAGTTCGAGAGACGCGTACTCTGTGGGTTTTTCCTCGGATGTAATTCCGGAGTAGACCAAAAACTTTGCTTTTACAGATGATCATTATTATTTTAATCAGATTACGTTGCTCGATGGACTCGTGGTTTTTCCAAGAGGATTGGGTATTGTTTTAAAAACATTTCAAGCGAAAGTTTTTTTTCTTTCCTTTTCATCAAGCGTACAGCTGTTGCACTCGACTTTTGTCCAGTACCTACTCTTTTTTCCTTTTCAAAACACTTAATCGCATTAAATACTTTTTTTCTTTTTTTTTTTTTTTTTTTGTGCACCAAAGGCTTTGCGCTCCTGTTAATAACAATACAAAGTATTATTCTTTTCCCCCGAATGCGTTATTTTCTGAACGCATAAAAGTAGGTAAATACTAATCCAAAGTGTCACTGCTTGGCATTATTTATTAAAATGATTCATCAACGCCTTAGACGCCTATCAAAGTACTTACGTAGATGGAAAAAAAAAAAAAAATTGCATCAGCAGATTATGAGGAGCAGTATAGCGCAAGTATTAGTATCTAGGGCTGGTACAGCGGTGCAGGCATGATAAACCCTGAAAACGATTCCGGGGGAAAGAGGAGGGCACGCGACGGAGGCCCGGGGGGGTTGGGTGGGCACCCTGATATCCCATTCCCGGCAAATCCCCGCTCGGAGGAAAAATTGGCTCCTCCCAGGTGATGGGAGGATATCTCTCTTATCCCCCGTCGAGCTGGAAATGAAAACGAGAAAAGCTGGGGGATGGGGAGAAAAAAATGATGTGTATCAATAAATATAAAAAGTAAGCCAACACCTGACTCTCTCTCTCTCTCTCTCTGTTTACATGCTTGCGATAACAACAGTCGCACCGACGTGCTCGCCGAACCAGACGAAAATACACGGGGTGGCGAAGCAGGAGAACGCCACCATACCCTGCGAAGTGGACGCCAACCCGCCCGAGGTCATCTTTCACTGGACCTTTAACAACTCGGCCATGAGCACCGAGCTCACCCCGAGGCACTTTACGAGCACCACCACGAGATCCACGGCCACGTACACGCCCACGATAGAGCTCGACTACGGCACCCTCCTCTGCTGGGCCGAGAACAAAATCGGCCAACAGCAGGCCCCCTGCGTCTATCACATCATACCAGCAGGTACATAATATACATCCTGTGGCTCATTACACGGGGATCCCTCTGAAGCTGTATACCCCAATGTTGCGTGGAAGAGCTGTAACCATATGCACATAAATCGTCTATATTTGGAGCGCAAAAGATACATTCGATACCTCATATGTGACGGCTTGGATTCAGTAGTAGTAGATTGATCACTTTGCCCTTCGCGCCTAAGTAGCGCTGTTTCAAAAAATACAAACACGCATTTGTAAGAGTCTCATTCCACAAATCCGGCGTCGCCTCTATGAAAAAAAACTACCAAAAACGTACATTTGTCACGAGTCGGTTGTTGCTTTTCGCATTGGAAGGGCCACCCTCGATAATTTGATTCCGGTTTACAGTTTCTCCTTCCTACGGTTAAGATCTCCCTCTCTCTCTCTCTCTTGGAAAGGAGAGGATCCCTAACAAGTTGCCAATCCTCGAATTTCAGCGAAACTCGACGATCTTATACGTATGTGTTCGTATCCTATAGTGACGAGAAAACATTTCTATAGAAAAACGCGTGGATTGCGATGGATATATATTATTATATGTACGGAGCAAATTTTCGGTGCGCGAATTTTATACACATCTGTCCTTTGGGAAACCTCCCGCTCGGCGAGCTTGTATCCATAACTAATTACCTTTCGCGCAACGCGACTGCGGTATACCTAACGCGAAGTTGGGAAAACTTTTCGGCAGCTCGAATTTCACCGGAATTTCCTGGGAAAACTCCCCGCGGAAACGCAATTAAAAAGCTCTCGAGTTCGCGGCACAATCACAGCTGCGATAGAATAAGAAAAATGACAACTCTCTGTTATTTACACCAGGTCACCCGGACGCCGTGCACAACTGCACGATAACGAACACGTCGAAGAGCGCGTTCGCCCTCCAGTGCAGCCCGGGCTTCGACGGTGGCATGTCGCAGTCGTTCCAGCTGGAGGTGCGGGAGAGCGGCAGCCACAGGCTCACGGCGAACTTGACCTCGAGCCTCGCGCGCTTCAGCGTCGGCAACCTCGAGGCCGGCTCGCTCTACCAGGCCCTCGTGTACGCCTACAACGCCAAGGGCCGCAGCGAGCCCGTGCTCCTCCAAGCCGGCACCCTCAGCCCACCCGAGAAGCAATTAACCTCCGACTCGGGTGAGTGTATATAACGCGCCCGGCAATCACATAATATGCGTTACACCGATACTCATCATCCCCTCGTACAAGGGCCCGAGAGGGAATCATCAGGCATAATTGCCCCCCCCCCCGCCGTTCGGTCTAATGCTGCGCGCGGGAATAACGCTCATTACTGCGTGTATATTATGTATATGAGCGTCCCTCGCCCCCGTGACGTAAGCACAACACAATCTTGAATTTCCCTATTTCTTTTTCGCTTCCGTAACTACACTGTACAAGTAGTATCATCGATAATTACCGGGGGGATCGGAGAATCGGTACTTGGAAGCTGAAACGTGCACGACACGCGTTATGTATATACATGTGTCAGGGCTTTTCCCTTCATTACAGGCCATCGACTGTGTTTGCCCGTACAGGTGTACTTATATACATTTACTTAGTGCGAGTCGACAACTTCGTAAGACCCGTGTTTTACGTCTGCATACACCCAATATTATGCATGCACATGTATATACAGTTTGGGTATTTACGTGTGGAAGTGGGAGACGCGATGAATTATACAGAAGGTGCATCCGTGTGCTTTTCGAGGAAGCATTATTAGCCCGTGTGTATGCTATATACCATAGAGTATACAGCGTGGGCGTGTTATATAATATATGCGGGAAGGTATATATATATATTTATATATATATGGGTTTGCTTGTTTTGGTATATATATGAAAACTCGATGCAGAGCTCGACGAGGCGTGCTGTCGGAATACATTAAATAATTGAGCCGAATGAATTTCATTATTCGATTGTGTGTGTGTGTGTGTGTCTATACTTACCAACCCAAAGACTTATTTGAATCTCGTTTGGTATTATCGTTGGATATTGTTTCACTCTCCTTCCATCCCCTGTTGTTATTGTTCATCGTTCCTCCATTTCAACATTAAGACGAACCTATCTCACGTAGGTCGAATTTTCATAATGTTTTTTGGACAAAGTGCCTTCCGATCGATTTTAACGGCTGCGGAAACATTTAGGGAAAATTGGGTATTATGCTAATTACGTAGAGGTTGCTTGTGCTTTTTTTTTTCTTTTTCTTTTTCTTTTTTTTTTTTTTTTTTTTTTACAAAAGTAAACAGGTGCATTTTTAAAAGATTGGACCAAAAAACGACGAGATGCACAAACCCATCAAGGCAAATGTTACATAATGATACGTTTGCCTGCGCTCCTGGGAACAATGAGAAATAACATTTCGTGACGGAAAATTTGAAACTGCTGGGATTTATTATATATGTACTAGGTATATATACCTTCGTTGCGGCTTTCACGTGACGTCAGCTGCACCGTAATGTAATCTAATAATGGAAAACGGAGGCGAAACTGCACCAGCGCGAGAACTCGGGGATACATTTTGTTATTAAAGTGCTTTCGCAAATAATAATGATAATTTTAATAATACTCATTTGGACACTCGGCTAATATCAAGTCACCGACATCAATGTGTACAAAGGGGGTGGGTGGAAGGAGGTAGAAAAAAAAAAAAAAAAAAAAACCTCGACAAACGAATACAAGCAATAAACTTCGGAGAGCACAAATAGAAAGCAGCGCCGTAAAGCTATATAATATCCGCATCGGCCTCGTAAAATCCAAGATTCGCCCCCACCCAGCCGCGGCGCTTTTTACTATCGCCTTTACGGCGGGTCACCCTCGTCATATTTTTATCACCGCGCGTCGTTGTTGTTGTATTTTCACGCCTCTTTTTTGTTTCTATTTCATCCGGCGTCCATAACGAACAACAGAAAAGCCCCACCCAACGAGCAACCCCACGGCCATGATGAGCGTGATAATAGGGGTCGTGGTGGCCCTGGTGATCGTGATGGCGATAGTCGTGGTGATAGTGCGGACGTACCAGTCGCCCGTTGACGAGCAGGCCAAGTCCTCGCACGCCGAGGACAACAATTGCAACAGCAGGAAGCACTGCGCGGCCAAGCCGCCGACGATACAGCGCGAGTTGCGCTTCCGCGAGTGCGGCAGCCTCATCACCGACGAGATCAAGCTGCCCGACTCGTTCGGCAAACTCGACGCCATCAGCACGGGCGGCGACGCCAGCGAGTCGGACGAGAAGAACCCCGACATCATACCCCAACAGCAGATCACCGGTACGTTTGCCATCAACATCTTTACTATAATCTATATATTACATGCGTTACATCAAATATAAGAACCCCCCCGATCGCGCCCCGATATCTCCTGTATCCCTTCCTCTCTGTATCCGGCCCGGGTGTATTCTTTCTCTCAAACATTTTGCCAAAGACGCACGTTCATTCGGATACCTTGGGCTCTTTGAAATGGATAAAAGAGTATGAAATCAATGCAACCCAATGTGTATATATATATTTATATACACAGCTACAATGGTGGATTATTGCGCAGGGGAGGAGGTATCGGAGTACCTGAGAAAGAGGCGGCTGGTGTCGACGATAGAGACCTCGCCGTCCCGAGTGGGGCTGCTCGAGAGATCGGCCCTGGCGGTGGGCCCGAGGCCCAACTACGCCGGCTACTGCACCATACGCAGCAGCATGCCCCTCAGGGAGCTCTCCAACTCCGTCAAGTTCAAGCCCAAGCCTGTGAGTATATATAATACATCATACACGTTACATGCACACGATTTTGTTGACAAAGAGAAGTAGGGGGTGGTAGGTTATTGGGCGACTCTCGACCTCGAGTACACAAAGTTCGCTGTTAACTCCACGAGGGAGAACAGGGGGGGGGGGTGGAAAAAAAAGAGGTATACAGAAGAGGAGAAAGAGAAAAGAACAGTTGGCGCGGATGAGTTTCGGAGGGTCGCCTCTCGGTCCGATGCCCTCGGGCGGCAGACACTCCGCTTCCGAGTCCTCGTGGAATAATTGCACTTGCGCAGGTGACGTGCCCCGACGTACATATATATACCTACACACCGCTGTTTTTCTTTTGCCCCTTTCCGCGCTTCTTCGGCCCGGGTGCCTCCAAAAACGGAGATTAAAAAAAAAAAAAAAATAGAGCCACCACCTCGGAGATGAAGGTTGCAACCCGGGACTTTTCTCCTTTCTTTTTTTTCGTTTCCGCGGCGATTTTTCCTTCGAAGCGAATTTAAGAGGTACACGAGGTGCCTTTTTGCGCTCAAGTGCCGCGGACGGACTCGAGAGAAATTGGGTCGCCGCCGTACCGTGGAGCTAAAGAGCCGCGCGCGTAAGGGGGGGGGGGGGAAAATAACGAGCCGAACTCGGGCAATAACTCCCTTCATTACAGGCCATCGACTGTGTTTGCCCGTACAGGTGTACTTATATACATTTACTTAGTGCGAGTCGACAACTTCGTAAGACCCGTGTTNAAAAAAAAAAAATGAATGTGTTGCAGCAGCATCAGTTCCAGCCAATGGCGAGCGAGGTCTGCGAGAGCGGCATGTGCACGCTGCCCCGACAGCACTGGGCGAGCCACCACCACCACCACCACCACCCGCACCAGCAGCAACACGTGTCCTCGACGGCGGTGGCGTTGAGTTTGGCGGGCCCGCCCTCGGTGCTGTACACGACGGGCAGTGGGGCGATAAGCGTGGTACGGACGACCCCCAGCGGGTGTCCTGTGCTCCTCGCCAAGGAGGTCGTCGAGGCGAGACTGGCCCAACAGCAGCCCCAGTTGTCGACGACACCACCACCACCAATCCCACCGATGGGCCAATGTTGCGTCCAGGGCTCACCGAAGGAGGCGCCACCCCCAACGCTCAAGCCCCCCCTCGTCCCGCCCGGCATACTCGTGACCAAACGCGAGAGCTCGGTGTGACCCAGACCAGCCTAAGGACTTATACAATTGTACATTGCTCCGTATAATATGTTATACCGCGATCACACGTGTCATTATGATGATGATATACTATACACAAGTGAGACGCCGCCTCGGTTGTTTCCTCTCTTGGCCCCTACATTGGATACTTGTGTGTACATAATGTATATAATACATGCACTATGAAAAAAAAATAATTAAATGACAAGTAAATAAAAGTCACCGTGGCAAGGGTAAACTCGCGTGAATGAATGAATAAAGGCTCCCACCGTCTGCGCGTATAATTACCAAAACTCTGGATTTCCAAACGTTTGGGGAAAAAAAAATCCCGAAACTGGAGCAAATCAACCTCGAGAACAGCCGAGCAATTTTTTATTTCAAAGTCCGACTCTGCGCGCAGAGCAAAAGCCCGAGTCGACGACGAGAGTTTATTATTTCATTGATTGATCAACTCGGAGGACACGGGGCGAATCGTTCAAAGCGCCACGCGCGCGAGCAATTTTTTTTTCTTTCAGCATATGTATATATATATACATGTTACTTTCCTCCCAAAATTCCAGAGGCATTCCAATCGTGCGTGCGAGAGAATAAATAAAAAAAAAAAAAAAAAAAAAAACATATATATATGGGTTTGCTTGTTTTGGTATATATATGAAAACTCGATGCAGAGCTCGACGAGGCGTGCTGTCGGAATACATTAAATAATTGAGCCGAATGAATTTCATTATTCGATTGTGTGTGTGTGTGTGTGTCTATACTTACCAACCCAAAGACTTANGAAAAAAAAGTATACTTATTAATATCCTCCCAAAATTCCAGAGGCATTCCAATCGTGCGTGCGAGAGAATAAATAAAAAAAAAAAAAAAAAAAACCAAACTGTACATGTGCACGCACAACTCGGGCCCGTTGGTTTTCATTTCATTCCACCCGAGCGAGTTCGAATAACCCGATAAATATTTCAGCCTGGGGGCGCAAACGAGCCCCCACCCCCCGAGAGCGCTTTGACCGCAGAAACAAAAACAAAAAAATAGAAAGAAGCCCAGCGACGCGCGAAATCACCCATCGCGAATACGCGCACCCGATGCAGGAGCAATGGAAAAAAAAAAAAAAAGAGAGAGATGGGTCAGTAATTATCGCTGTCCCGGAGAACTCGCGTCGGCGGGCATGGAAAACGTTGCAAACTCTTAAACGGAGGGAAAAACGAAAGTACATATATGTTTATTGGAGGACGGAGACGAAACAACGCAAACCAAAGGGGGGGGGGAGGTGAATAATATCCGAGGCACGCGCATGTAAATATAACACGTACACGAGAATATTATTTTATACCATTGCTGTATCATGATATGTATAGAGGGAAAGAGGGGCTCTCTCTCGACCGGACGCTAACGTGTATTGTAAAATAAAACTGTTAAAAAAAAAAAATCGCGGCTCTGATGGAAGAGCGGCTCGACTTGGGTACCTACCACGTAAATTTAAATGTATACATGTGTAAAAAAAAAAAAAAAAAAAAAATATATCTCGCGCATTCAAGTACAGGAAGTAAAGAAAGAGGGGGTGGACGGATCCCGGGACCCTGATGCGGGGCACAGGTGCTCGGGGGGGAGGGTCGGTACTCTGATGCAGGCGTGCTTGCTTTCTATACGTAGTATATATATATGTACGTGCAATCGTAAGAGGAGAAAGACGAATGGCCGTGGCCAGGGGAGGAGAGAGAGGAAGAAGAAAAAAAAAAAAAACATCAGCGGTTGAGTAAAGGAGAGCGTGCGGCAGAGGAGGAACGGGCGACGGTAAATCATGCCCCCCCCCTTCGAGAGTCGATTTGTCGGCCGTGTGTACACATACACCGAGCAGGAGCTGGGCTCTTTGCTACGTATATGCTATTATGTATATACGTACACCTACTTATCACGGGTAACAAAAAGAGGGTAAAATGGAAAAGTGATTCGCAGGAAGTGGAGGGGGTGGAAAGAAAAAAAAAAAAAAAAAGTTTTTTATTCCCGCCACTGTTCAGCTTATTAAAGCCGTCGTCGTCTGTTATACTTGGGCGCGCAGTCTTCCTCCGGGCCATTGAGCTCCGTTTGTCGCTAGCAAGCAGCCCTTAGCGCGCGGATGCATAAATCTCTCGCGGATGGATCTCGTAAAGGGAAAAATTTGGAAAATAACAACGAGTCAAGGGGGGGAGGGGAGCTGTTTGTGACTCGCGGTCCAATAATATTTTTCCGTTCGCGCGAGAGCTTCGCAACTTTCGCAACTAACGGCCCCTTGTGTATAACCAGGGAAAGATGGGGCGACAACATTCGTCACGGGGGAAAAAAAAGGCCTTGCCTACTTGAACTTTCGCAAAGTTATCGTCGGGGATACAAGTATGTGTGGTGACGGTGCACCCGTTGATACGGTTTCGGGATCCGTCGCCCTTGTTTTGGAAGAAAATAAAACCACAGCAGCGAAGACTTTTTTCTCTCGTACTGCAATTGTACCTATAAATGGGCCATTTCGTAACTCGTACGAATATATTGTTTTCAACAAAAAACGCGCCGACCCTCGAATCGCTGTACATTGTATTACATAATATATATATATCTACATTGATAATTTACATTAAATTGTACTATGACAAATGGTATCTCTCATGTGACGATTTATCGAATTTCGGACTTGTCTGGTGTTGGCAATTATTCGCGGTGAAGCATATTTTTTCTCAGCGTCGTAATAACATAGATTCGAGGAAAAAAAGAAAAAATGAAGCACCACCTCCGAGTGAATGTAACATAGGAAATAACGCAATGAAAGAAAAGTGTAAAAAAAAAAAAAATTTGGAAAAAAATGTGTCATATCCACGCGGAGGTGAGTGAGTGTATCATAAATACGAATGACTGCGGCCAATATTTTCGAGTGCACGCGCTGTGCAGAAGACGAATGACCGCAGCAGACACGGTGCGTTTTATGTAAGTACTTGTGCGTGACGTTTGTACATTTTGGACTGGTCTCCGTTTCCGATTTTTCTTTCTTTTGCGAGCGTAGCGTCACGTAGGGTAGTACGATATCGTTGCACACAGCTTAATTTTTCAATCAAGTAAAGGGCAAACAAAAAAAAAAAAAAAAAACTTCCCGGCTACGGAGAAGCGACTATCGGAGTAACTAATATAAATACACGATCATCACTCATGCACGGATCAATCAGGCGCGCGCGCGCGTATGTACATATGAATACATCCAAAACTTTTACGTATATATATATCGTTTGTCAGCGAATGTGAGAAATGACAAATCCTGAGATGTTGTACATTATACTTATACCTAAGATCGAGTGTAACGAGAGGCTGTTTTTCTTCTTTACTTTTGACATCGAATCCATCACCGGCAAACTTGTGATGCATCGAGTTACGTGGGTGTAACGCACACGGAGCACAAGATAGTACGTGTAGTTCGACAGTGGACTCGTATACACAGGGTTGGTTCAATCGGTTACCTTTTTACTTTATTCATGTTGTGATTTGCGGATTGGCATTTTGTCAAATTTCTCCATCCGTTGCCCAATGTGTACATAAATACGGTATTTTAATGTTTGCGAGCTGATCGAGAAATTACAGTTGAATGATGAGCAAATTTTTATCGAGAATTGTTACGATTGATTACCAATGAGGGAATTAACACGGCAAACGTGCAGTATGCACTTGTTACAAAAATTGTATAGAAAATTTGTTTGAACACGAGTCTCCAGTGGATTTTAAGGTTTTTCTAGAGATACAGTGGGCGCAACGAAATTCATAGCGATACCTAGATGTTTAGCGGAAACACATCGTTTCTGCTTCGTAAAAATTTTCTAATGACATTAAAAAAGTAGTCATGTATAAAGAAAAAAAAACACACACACAAACAAAAGCAGCAACTGCCAAATCTGATTGTACAATTGATTTATGAAATGACTGAAAACTATATTCATTTGATGAGATCTTGCATGGACGATTTGATCATTTGTAAGTCTATGCAATCGAAACTTTTGTTAAACTCGTCAGATTTCAGAAAAAAAAGTATACTTATTAATATATTATAAATATATAACAGACACGAGCTCAGATTAAGGACTTCAAACTTTTTAAGTATTAATTACAAGTAGTAATTTTTCCAAAAAACTTAATGATAAATCAAAGTAGGCCAAGTTTTACATTGAGTGATACCATTTTACTTTTGAACCGGTAACATTTACTTTTGTAGTTAAAGTTAACGAAAATTAACACATACCTCATTGCGCTTTTTTGTCAGAGGAAAAGGGTGATCGAGGTGCAAAGCACCAAACCGGAGGCCATACACTTTCTGAAAACAATTATGAAATATTTTAAAACTGTATTTTATTAAAAACTAGTCATGTATTGAATTTTTTTTTTTTTTTTTTTCGATTAAAATCCTGTTACTGTTTACACGTATGATAAAAACTTACATAAAAAATAAAATGACGATTTACTACTTATAAAACTTTAATTATTTTTATATATAGGAGCAATTGCGAGTCGCACCCGATGCAGGTAAGACCCGTGTTTTACGTCTGCATACACCCAATATTATGCATGCACATGTATATACAGTTTGGGTATTTACGTGTGGAAGTGGGAGACGCGATGAATTATACAGAAGGTGCATCCGTGTGCTTTTCGAGGAAGCATTATTAGCCCGTGTGTATGCTATNTATAAAGCATGTGCAAATTTTCGAATTTTCACTGTAAATGAAATATTGTATTTTTTACGAACCTCATACTATGCACGATACAGCAGAAATGGTTTTAACGTTTTCCGGCTTTTTCCCTTGATTTTCATGCATTAAAATCGCTGCAGTATTATTAAATATAATATAGTAACCGAGATACAGTTGGCCACAAACAATCTTACCTATTTCGCGCAATTTTGTACAAAGCTAATCATCCGATGTATTCACTCTTGTATATTGTATAGCTTATTAATTTAACTACTGTCATTTCAAGAACGAGTGTGTTCCTTTATCCTTTTGCCACCCTAAACCCACTTAAACCCCTCGCGCGTCACCTTCGTACGTGTGACAAAACTGTTGTTTTGATATATTGTAAATATTCTAATAAATGATCGTTTTTATTCAATAATATAGTTACTTATTTTTTTTTTCCTTCATCAACCTAATGATATTAAAAATAACCTATGATATTTACCATTGTATAGATGAATAAGTGGAACTTGATTGAATTCCTTCAAATACATTTTTAGATTTTGTACTTCTGGCACTGTTAAAGAAAGTATGTACTCAACTACGGTAACTTCTGGTAGTAGATGTTGTAATTCACTTAAATCTTTCAAATGATCAATCATTTTTTTGTGCTGCAGTAGAAAAAAAAGTAAAAACTTTAAATCGTTAACTTGGTATCATAAAATTAATGTAATCCGTTGATGAACAACTTACGTTCGACAGGTATTCGCACAACGAGTAAATTTTGAATAAGCAATTTCTTATTTGTTTGCCAACTTCTTCCAACTCTTGACTATCAATTTGATCAAACAGCATAGGAGGGTTTGTCACGTATGCCATATGCCATTCAGAAAAATACTTCTACAAAAAGTATATAAATAAGCATAGCTCATAAAGCGGTATATTCAACCTAAAAAATGATACGCTTTATTCACCATATACAGAAAGTAACGAGCTGGTAGGAGAATGACATTTTTAAGCATAGAAGACTTGTCCTTTTGAACAAATTGTAAGTGCTTATAAATTGCTTCTTCCGAAGCTTCAATCAAATGCACGACACTTTCGGGATACACAAGCAACAATCCAGTAAATACAATCTTCTTATACTCTTCGTTCAGTTCCTTGACATTGTTCTTCATCCACTAGTGATACATACGTAAGTGTATATAATTGATAAGTAGGTACACCTTTTTCCCCCTATCACTAAAAACGCAAAACGAGCTTGACGTACTCTTTGCAAGTCATCCCTACATCCACTGTAGCTACCGACATAAACAAATCTCGTGACAGGTTCCGACTATCGGGAGATACATGTTATCATGGTATAAATATCCAAGTAAACATGGATGGAGTCGAAAAAAAGTCGTTTACCCGATCTGCCAAGCTAAGGTTGTGCTTGACGACGTCGAGGAAGCTCTTTCTCTTTGGCTCCTCCATAAGTCACAAATTAAATCGCGAATCACTGATAACCAAAGACCACGATCGAAAAAACAGACTCGCGAATGCCGCAGCAGGACCGAGTTTAACGTCACTCGCGAGAGCACGAGTTTGAGATTATTACCGATGAAAAACGCCACGCAAATTCTTTAGACTGTCAGTTTTCAAAAGTTGTGAAGGTATACCTTCAAATTGTCAAATTGTCGAGATTGAGTGACTTATTAAATTTGTTATTTTATTTTATTTAATGCACTCACGTAAAGTATACAAACGTAACCGCAACCGGCCGGTCTTAGCTGCGGTCTCTCACTGTTCCTGGACTGCTGTGATTGGCAGCTGCTGCATCATGGCTGCCGTCATCGAACGCTAGAAGCGGTAGATTCAATAACGCGTTGAAAAAAATTTGTGACAGCAAGAAAACAATGTACAGTTTGTAAAAAAATCTGTTTTTTTCTGATGATATGCTTTTCATGGGGTCTTGAAGAAAAAAAATACAGAATATTTAAGGAAATCAGGTTATTAGAAAAATGTCTGAAACTAAACTAAGAAAAATAGTTTTTTTTTTTTTTTTTTTTAATTTAAGCTTATCAAAAGACATGAACCGTACTGCATACGGTATTGTCCTCATACATTTTTTTTTTTAACAATATCTCACTATAAATATTTTGCCATAGCATTGGAGTAAATTGAAAATTTTCATTACAAATACTTTTCATGCGATTATTACAATAGTCCAACAGCAAAGCAAACAGATAACATAGAAGACGTAGCATAATACATGATTTAAAAATATACCGTGATACTAAAATTATCACCTAAATCACAGCTTTTATTTCTATTTGATAGCTTTAGCAATAATATTTGTTTTGAAATTTTATCAAAATTTTTTAAACCTAAAATACTACCAACATCAAGTGCCCAAAGATTATTTTACTCCTAGTCTTATTTAAATTTTTAGTTCCAAGCACCAAGGCACATTATTAAAGATACTTTTTTTTCCTCTCCAACTGGTAATTGATAAAAATTATAAAATACATGAACGCATACAATCCTTACATCTTATCAAGTCTTTTGGTTGTATCTAGTTTAAAATTAAATGAAAATGACTCGGTAATTAAATAGACGTAAATCATAAAATCTTAAATTATAGTTGCAACAACTGCGGAAATTTAACCACTTATTATCACATGCAGTTTCTTACATATTATAAACACTGACTGCATCTATTTTTTGGACTTTCGTTTAAAAGAAATAGGAAGAGCCGGTATCGCTTCACCAGGATCTTCCAACCAAACTGATTTACTAAAGCGACCTCTTATCTCCGGAGGCTGCCATTTGTTTGAAGAAATATTGGTATCAAAAGTTACGTCAGGTTCTGTATTATCAGTTGGAATATGAATTGATCTGAAAGATAAGAAAATAATTTACAAGGTAACTACATCCGTTATTTAAAAAATGGCATTGTGAGGTGTGTATTAGGAAATGAAAAAAGAAGTGCACAGTTGTATTAAACTGATTTTTATTCTTCCAAAATAATAAATTACATTTAAAATAAAAAAAAAAACAACAAAAAAAAACTTACGGGTAGGAGTTTCAATTACAAATTGGTTTAAAGTTTAAAACAAAAGGGCAACAAAATGGTCAGCTCAAAAATAATGATTATTTTCAACAAGAGATGAGAAATTTTACACAAATTTTTTTTCAGCCTGTATAAAGAAAATAGGAAAGTAGTATAGATATGACTACTTGGTATGTGAATTCATACTCAAAGTATTTAATATAAAATTATTTTCATATGTACAATATTTCAAAAATGTTTAATCACATTCATTATCTTCAAATTTTCATTTTATAATAAATACTCTGAAGAAGAAGCTATTATATTAGTGCCAAGGCACTTGATTTGGATGACTGATGGTACCCAATTTGTAGTACCTTGTGGTTGAGGAAGGCAGTTGCACTCCCAAATTATGATTCGAATTGGGTGGCGTTGACATAACGTTTTCTGCACTATGTGCAGTAGTTCCATCACCTTTCAATACAGCAACGCATTTCCAGTTGTTAATATAGTTATCTTTCCATAACCTCACGCAACCATCATCACCCGAACTTGCCAGTATTGTTCCCATTATATTCCAACAGACCCTCCAAACTGTACAGTAGTGATCATCAAATTGTGCTAATGTCGAAATTTCAAATCTCCCCAGTCCAACTTGATCTCTATAACAATAAATAGAAAAAGTTTGTAAATCTCAGATGCGGGAGTAATTTTTTCAGCTTTAACATACTTGGGATAGAAAAACTTACGGTACAGGTTTTATGGATACGATTCTCACATCTTTGGTGGCAACAGCAAGTGTATGATAGCTACGTCCTAAATTTGGAGCAAATGCAAGATCATGAACTGCATCGTTGATACTAGATATAGTTTCAGTCTTTCCCCATTTCCTGCTAATCTCTGAGTATTCATAAATAAACACTTTTCCTCCGTTTGTTGAATTTGAATCATCACTACCTACTGCTATCATAGGAGGATGAAGTCTAGAAAAAAATTAATAGCATATAGGTTTTTTTTTTTTCTATTTGAAAAACAATTGAAAAGACACGGATTGATACCTTGAAAGAGAAGGATTCCATGCCAAGCAACTAGTAGCAAATCTACAATTAATCTCATGCTGCAATGTCCACTGGCTGATGTTCATCACATCAGGTGCTTCATATATCCTAATAACTCCATCTGTGCTGCATGTTGCAGCTAAAAGACCTAATATTTTTGGACCAAATTTGACATCTGTCACATTAGTTCTGGAGTCGACGAGATTTGATCTACGCACCCAGTGCCTTGTACCCCTATCACCAACTCCAGTTCCTTCTCCAACTAAGTAATGTTGAGTAAAAAATATGAGTATTTAAGTTCTGAGGAACATTCAAGTAGAATAAAACATGAAGAAATCAAGCATACCTATTTCTTCCCAGACAACGGCAGTTCTGTCAAAAGAACAAGTAGCCAAGACTTGACCAAATTCGGGATGTGCCCAGGTAACTTTCCAAACAGAAGCACCGTGAGCCTTCCAGGACGCGGTCAAGTGCCAGTTCCCATGCTCGTCCTCGTCCCAGACCTAAATGCACGAGCAACACGTATTTAATCAATAATTTTCCAAGTCGGAAAAATTCGTCTCTTGCAGCGAGTCCTACCTTGACGTAATGATCACTAGAGCATGTGGCCATCCGCTGCCCGTAGTAATCATAAGCTATGTCGTGTATGAGATCCTTGTGCTCGGTATTGATGCTGTGTGCTTCAAACATTTTTGTTGACACTTGGTTAAGTACTGTGGCATCAAACGAAGAGAAACAACAACAAACGCGAGTTCTTACCAAGGCGTTTTCAAACGCACTTGTCGAGTTTACCCGCGCACGATGCAACCAGGCGAACGTTAAATTTTAAGGTTAGTCTTGTATTTCTCGCTCTCTAGCTCTCTCTCTCTCTCTCTCTCTCTCTCTCCCCCACCTGTATCTTCTCGTTACCGAGGGTTGCGGGACTTGCGGGTTGCGGGTCGCGGGTCGTCGGCGGCTTCAAAAGTAATCGTTTACTCCATTTCATTCTCGTGATTCTCGTGAACGAAAATATTGCTTACGGACCTTACGGCAGCTTGCGGTTGCGGCATATACTTACTTGACTTCGACTTGATTAGTTTTTCGTCGATTTACAGTCAATAATTTATCAAATAACTCTTGAATTTATCTGATACGACGGTAGTGATGATAAATTGATGAAATAATCAGTCATTATTTATACAGCCAATCAAAATTTTGTCAACTCTCAGTGTGTGTGTGCGACACGCATGTGATTGAGTATTTGAAAAATGTAATACGCAATTACGCATTGGGATTTAGTTAGAAAAGGTACGTATGTATTTGAGTGTAAGAAGTGCTCGTGTTTACAAACAAATTGTGTACTCATATGTACCACGTTCGTTTGGTAATCTCTCGGGTGCTCAAGACATATACCAGTTTAACTGTATAAATGGTAGTGTACATTTCAAGCCGATCGGTCAATTACTTGATTACGTCAACTGTTGTTTATTTTTATAAATTTATGTTCAACCATCACGACTTCACCTGTAAACTAAATTCCACACATTCAGTGGTTCTTCATGGTCATATCACAGGTATATAAAGTACAGGATATTCGTGGAATGCTGACCCTTAGTTGTTTTCTAAATCATAACACACTAACCGAATGTTAATTTGCCTAAAGTACTTTCTTGAACAGAAAATAAACTTTTTCCAATTTTCTCGACGCACGTACGTAATTATCTTCAAGTTTCGCTTGCTATTCGGGATATTTTGCCGTTTCTTTTATCGTTTTCTTGCTGATGACAGTGTTTAAACAAATGAATCATGGTTACAGATAAAGCAGGTAGGAAGTCAGCAAACGGATTAGAAAATCATGAAGGACAAGGACGAATTGTACGTTCAAGTAAGTAAACGTCACGTTATGGAAGTACCATTATTAATTTTTATTTACAATTAGCATTGAATAACGAAATTGTCTTGTCACATCACAGCGCTTGATTAATCGGAACTCGAGGCGTGACAGCATGAATTCCACCCAATCCGCGATGCAACGGAGGGTCAGCATTGTTGAGTTGATGATAAACAATAACAACGACACGAAAAATGAAAATAGATGTATGTATGTTCTCCACTCAACGCGCAATTTATTCTGAGTCCGGACCTCTTCTTTTTTTAAATCAAGCCTTCCATGATTTTCAGGTCCGGAAAGCGATTCCAGTTGTGATTTCACTGAAAAGGTGATGTCTGACTCCTCGAGTGCCATCGATATGTACCCTTTTATCAACAAATCGACCCTCAAGGTAACTCTGTCCAAGAGAAAATGCCCCATCAGAACGAAGAAGTCTACGACTTTGAGTGAAACAATCACCGAGAGCAGCAGCAGAGACTCTTTGCTCGCAAACAGCTCTCCCTCGCATAGCCGGCCCCGCAAGTCGATTCACAAGACACGCCCCGTCAAGCCGATACGCGTCGGAGTTCGTCGACAAGAACTCGAAACCCGCTCCCGGGGCTCCCCATCTAAGCAGAATTGGTTCTCCAAGGACACGCTGCTACAGCTGATGGCTGAAAAAACGTCACGCCCTGCTATCGAGCGACATGCCCTAGGCGAGTCTCGGGACTCTCTATTTTGCCCAAGAAAATTGAGTGACCAGAGACTTTCTCTTGACGTCCGAGAGACAACGACGACGACGGGAGCGCTGATACATCCCGACTTTCTGCCAACAGTAGCAGCTAATGTGGACAATGAAGTCACGACAACGAGCCTAATTGACTCGGTCGAAGAGTTTATTCACGTCTCCAGCGACAAAAGAAAATGCAGCATGTTTTCGGATAATGTGATCTCTAGCATGGATTTCCAGTACAATCAGTGTCGAAACGCCCATGACCTCGAGAACCAGGACGCTGACTCGGGCGTTTCACTTGCCAAGTGGGTACGCGACGCATGCGGTAGCACTTCGTCGGATCCATCTACAAGCGATGTCATCCACCTACAAGCTGAACTATTGCCCGAAAGCGAGCGTATGTCGGAGCCCGAATCCGACTCGATGGACTCGGATGGATCTTTCACCAAATATTTGGCTGATCCGGTCAACAAAAGTTTGTACTTTTTTTTCTGCGCTTCTAATAACTTTATCCCACCTGTTTTTAATGTTTTTTTGCTCCGGTAATAATTGTATTTCAGAAATAAGTCAGCAATTGTTCGTCAAAGACTACGATCTGGAGGAGGAATTTGCCAAAGGCAACGCCGAACTGCTGCGCCAGGGACCCGATCAGTTCTTCAACATCCGACTTCTCGAAACACTCGAACCCAAAGTGACGCCCGTCAAGCCTAAAATCACGAGACAGTGTGATTCGGTGGAAGATTATCGGTCATCTGATGCTCAAACTGAGCAAATATCTTGGGAAATATCTATGCTGTCAAAGGAAATCAGAGCTTTGGACGAGGAGATAAGAAAACTAGATATCAAAGAATCGGTGATTAAGGAGGCTGAGGCGAACCCAATGACTGAGGCTGAAATTTTCGGAACACTCAACCAGCACTGTAATAGACAGTTCCATGATAATGAGACGAAGCCTGAATTTTTCACTCCTATGCGTGAGTTATTATTTTTTACCCCCACTGTTGTCCGTATGTACGTATTTTGAAATTTACAATACTTTATTCTATTTAATGAAAAAAACAAAGATAAGCCTTTTTTTTTTTTGTATAAAGCATGTGCAAATTTTCGAATTTTCACTGTAAATGAAATATTGTATTTTTTACGAACCTCATACTATGCACGATACAGCAGAAATGGTTTTAACGTTTTCCGGCTTTTTCCCTTGATTTTCATGCATTAAAATCGCTGCAGTATCCACTAATGTACTATAATAAACTACTATTTTAGTGCATCTATGTCTGTACACAGATACACCGTATTTTGGCGCGTCTAAAGCACCCCTAAGATCTCCATCGCCTATCCAGTCACGTGAGTCGGTAGATCCGACGCTTGAAAAACCGGCACAAGGCAAAATTTACGATATACCGATCACGAGTGCACAACTGAAGGCCGTAGAACGAATACAAGCTGACGGCAAGTCGGCAAACTTTATAGACAATCTCACGCCCCATGGAAAATTTCGGCAGCCTCCTTGCCACGAGTCCACATTTGTTGAAGCGGAAGCCGTGGCAAAGTCACCGACGCTCTCCCAAGTCAATAGCACCATCTCCAGCATCATGCCCAATACGCCTCCGTGCACTAACGAGAGAATTATTACTGTTGATAAAATGAGTGCACAGGAACGGAATCTCGAAGATCGGCTAGAATCCGTGCACGAGTCCCTCAAACATAACGAAAATGCAACAAAGCATGAAAAATATGAGATGACCATACCTGAAGAGGTTGGTACTAACATGAGACTTGACAACTTATCGTAACTATATTATTTTGAAAAATCGGTAATGTCAATTTTGTATTAAACGAAGGTGGAGAACTTTTTGTACAACGCCCTTGGTACTGAGCACTACGTTTCGATCAACACCAACACGGACCAGTCCAACAGAATAAGCAATTCGATCATCATCGACGGCTCTGGCTCTGATTTATTCAAACCTGCTGACTACCAGGCTCCATGTACAAAAAGCTTGAACAGCGAGACGTTGAGTAACCGGTCGCGAGCGTTCAACAGATTGAAGACATTTTCTCATAGACTCAAAAAGGTGCGCATAACTATATCATTACCAGCTCTATTTAAACTTTTTTCTTCTTTATATATGTTACCTTTTACTTTCAATAAAATGTGACAAAACATAGTTTCGTGTGTAGAACATACAAAAAAAAGCTTTTGTAAATGTGATTTGTTTAGAAACTTCGCAGAACCGTGATGAAGCCCGATAATTCGTGCGAGCTGACGACCGAATTGATCGAAGTGAGCCCGAGTTTACACGAGAAGGTTCAAGCCCTGAGGGCCCATGTGGAGGTTCAGCAGACTCTCATATTTCAGGCAGCAAAGGCTCTGTCCTTGTGCTGCTCTATGCCTGAGTTCATCGCTAGCCTTGAGCGTGTCGAGTCCGAACGGGCCCTCCTTCTTGCAAAACTACGCAACCAAGCCTACCTAGATGAGATTGTCCAGTTGACGTCTAAAGGATACTGTGCCGAGTTAAATCAGCATCAATTTTCAGCCCAAAGCGACCTCGAGCTCAGAGACATTAAACTGAAACTGCGCGAAAACATCATAAAGCACGAACGTCTCGGTAACGGGATGGTTGAGTGGTTCTTGCTCGTAGTAAGCGAGGGCCAACGCGTCTGGGCCAGCCGAGCCATTTGCTACTCCAGGTCGTCACCCCAACTTTCCTTCCCTGATAGCTTCGTCATTGGCGAACTCGATCCCAATTTTAGAGTTACCATCCGCGTCTACAGCCTCCAGCTGCGCCAGCAGAATAACTTTGACCACGACGAACGCTATCATTTGCAGAGGCACCAACAAAATTTTGACAACAGCTATGTGAGCTGTCCCGCTCACCTGCTGCGCAATAATTTGATGCGATCACGAAGGACGTCGGTGATGAGCACTATGGGGCCCAGACAGGAGAACATCAACGTGGCCACCAAGAATTCCTCGTTCATAGAGTGTGGCAATCTCGAGCTCACTCTCCGGGACATCCGGACCATGCCACCCTGGAACCTCAAAGCGGTTGGTTATACGTGAATCCGTACCTCGCTGGAGTAAAGCTAAAGTGCACAATATTTTAACTTTCAGGTGCCATCTAACAGTGCTCTGTACGGAACGATCGAAATGAAGGCAGAGTGCAAAATAAAGCTAATATCGATCGACGGTTTTGTAAATTTCGGTGAGGAGGTCCAAGGTCAAGTCTATTGGACGCGATTCTATTGCGCACTCGAGAATCACTATCTTTTCTTCTGGAAATATCCGCACAACCGGGATGTTGGGGCTCTGCCAGAACGTACGATCGACTTATCCCGCTGTACTACTCAACGCGTCGAGTTAGTCGATCGCTCTCTTTGCGCTCGACCGAAAACTTTGCTCATTGCGACGGCCCGGAGTCGACGGGACAGTCTCGATGCCGACACGACTTTTATGCAATGCAGGGGAAAATCTACCATCGTTGGGTCAGTAATAAAAATTCAACATATACCTTTATTTGTCATCGGTGCAAGCTATTTCATTACGAGATTATTTGAATCCACAGGACACTGATAGCTTTTGACGAAAAAGACGAGTTAGCAGAGTGGCAAGAGAAACTAAATTACGTTGTCTCTGTTCTCCGAGCGTGGATCGGTGTTGTAGAGGTTTAGTGATTTTGGTCAATAATCATAATCATCGAGCCGAAGCCTTGCGAAAAAGAGGTTGGCAACGGTCATGCGAGGAAATCTTTGATGTAATATTAACTGTCGCAGCACTACCATTGGTTTTTGCGACAGCGTAATTTACACAAATGCATGTATTATTTAAAAGAAAAAAATTAGATTAAGTGAATTTGGAATTTTAAAGAACTTTCTTGAAGCCATTTAAAAATTAAAATTTAAGAAATAAATGATTATCAGAGATAAGCAGTCGAGTATTTTGAATCATGTATATACATATATCTTTGACAATATTTTAGTGACAAGTCATGTAAAATACTAGCCCCTGAATGCTCATCTATAAAATGTATAAAATGCATATTTGATAAATTTTTATGGGATCTTAAGTTCACAAATTGACAAAATATTTTTAATATAAAAAATATATCTACGATTAACATTTAATAAAGGTCATTAATGAAAATTCTTACATTTCTCAATATTATGTAGCGAAATAAGATTCTTTCCCTCAACTAGTAATTGTTTTTGGTGTTTATGTAAAGATCTTGACAAACTCAACTGATTCTTAAAGATATTTTGCATGGAGTCTTTAAAATAAAAATTAATTTGTCTAAATTCTAAAGTAATAGCAGGAAAATGTATGTTTAAAAGGCGACTAGATGAAAGAATTATTGAATTTGCATGCAACTAAGCATTTCTCGATCAATTTGTAAAACATTTATACTCAAACATATGACGTATCAATCAGTTATTCTTAATCGAAATTTAAAAAATAGCTTTCTTAATTCATACTTCATGGAAAAATCATCTTAACTTGAGCGGATACTACGAATAATTCAAAAATGATGGAGGTGTACAAACTATCACATAATAGACATCAAAATGATTTT